CTGGGGTCCCTACTCAAGGCCACATGCTTACAAGACAGCCACTCTACCATTTGAGCCACTCCACCAACCCAGAATGTGATTTTTCTGATGAAAATGTCCAGATGAGCCATTGTTTTGGCTTTGCCTCAATGTCTCTGATGCTCTTCTATCTATTCCACCACTACTACCAAGACTGCATGAGACTGAAACCACTGATTCTAGTCAGTTGGGCTCTACTCCAAGGCAGTCATTGCCATATACAATGATCAATAAGGAACCAGGGCTTGTGGTTCCTAAATGCCCTCCTCTTCTTAAACCTAGTCTTGCTCACTTCGCAAATAGTATCCTGAGAACCTTACTTAATATGCAACCCCTATTTTCTATGATTTTCATTTAGCACGTCTAGAGGAGAGCCCAGAAGCAATCACCCTTCCGTGTGATTCTGATGAATAACTAGGCTTAGTCTGTTGCGATAGGACCTGAACCTGACTGCAAGGCTCTCACTGGAAATTTAATGCTACTTAAATTTACCTCCTTTCATGTTTATGTTATTTACAAAATTCAACCGCATCCAAGTGCCAATGTTATCCCATAATGCGTTATGCTTTTTCTCCAATATTAATTCTCATATTGATCTGCTTCCCTTTCAAGTTTAAATATGCCCTCAATATATATCGAAAAAAAAAAAAAAAAACCTCCCAGTATCCTCACTTTCAAAGAACACACCAGGTGAACTTACCTGAATCTTGGCTTCCTCCATAAGAAGATCACTTCCCAAGAGATGATTCCTTTTCTAATTCCCACAAAACACAAGGCCTAAAGTTAGGGTAACCATTATTTTCATTCTCTGGTTTTGCTTCTACACAATTATTTATCTTTCCATATATAAAACATCTTCATGACAAGAACTTTATCACGGCTGTCATCATGCAGATTGAACTTCCATACTTATTGAAAACTCCAGGCTTAGAAATTTTAGTCTTCTTCTCTAATTTTGTCATGTTGTATGAATTTACAAATCCATGAAAAAAAGGCATAGTCAAAAAATTACGCTTGAAATTTATTGATGCCTCATCTTTAGAACATTTTATTATCACACTATCTCAAAAACATAGTAATTGTAATTATGTCTAGAACTACTGTTTTAGACATTGTAGATGTCAATGTTTTTCTATTTGATTACAATTTTCCTTGAATATTCAAATTTCTGATGTTTTCACTACAGCTAAAATTTCCTTTTTTTTTTTCTTTACTTCTATAGAGCTTTGATACAGGTCTTTGAAGTGCTTACTACAAAATCTGGCATTTATTGTCTGAATATTTATTATGGTTCATCTACCTTGGCCTTTGTCCCAGTACATGGATCATGGGTAATTAGGGAAATGGCTTTGGTTCCCAGGTCAATGACAGAGAGAAAGTTCATGTCTGAAATGATAGTAGGTCTTATTACAGGCAATCTCAACTCCCAAGCACCATCCAAGAATGTTCCCTTATAAATTTATAATATGCATTTTCAATGGCAGCAGCCCAACAGTGAAGTAAATCCAGCCAATGGCTGACTTCACTGCCTTTTTCTCTTTTGAGGATGATTAACTAGACTGGCCAAAAAATAGAGTAAATTAGGAGTCATTTTGTCTGGCAAACCCAAACTTCTGTAATAACTATAAAATTGAGATATATGAAGATGCTGCTGTTGTGATCAGGGTCAGGAACTAAATGTCTCATTAAAAATCAGGCATAGGGCAACAGTACTCTGGATCTACCAATACCCCACAGAGTAACAGAAGAGGGATGGTAAGAGGAGATTTTGTTTAGAAGAGCAGTCAGCAGTTGAGTATGCTTTGCCTGCAGTTAACCAGGTATTCTATATTGATATATTGTATTTCTGATAAATCAAATCAATGCTTTTTTTAGTGAGAAGGCATTGAAATTGATACTTCAATTATTTACTTCTAAAATTGGAGGAGGTGTAAAAGTTCCTTTGAAGTTCTCTATTTCCATTTATCTTTAATTCACTGCATCCTATGAGATTTCTTATATGATATATACTGAATACTAATAATACAAAGATTTAAATATTTATGTTCCAGACCACAAGGGGATATATTCAGCTCTATGAAATCCTGCCTTGGTCTGGGTAATAAGACATATGTATCTGTTGTCTGTAACATACCAACAAAAGTTCTGCTTAAAATACAAACACAAGATAGTGTACATGGCTCAAATAGTAAAGCAATTACTATTTGCTAGCAAATGCTAGGCCCTGGGTTTAATCCCCAGGACCATCAAATAAATAAATATCCAAACAATGCAAAATCCTTGCTATATCTTAGGAAAACCACCATATCTCTTTAGTCTTGAAATATTAATTACTATAGCTACCATATCTTTGAATCAAACTAGAACTTGGAACCCCTTTCCACAAAACAGGCACAATGGTTTGGATATGGCTTGCAGTGTGTCACCCAAGGGTCTGTGTGTTCAAATTTTGGTTGCCAGTGTGGCAATATTAAGAAGTGGTGGGACTTTCAAGGGAGAGGGTTTTAAAGGGAAGTTATTGGATCATGGAGGACACTACTTTTGAAAGGAACTAATGTAGTTCTTGTGGGATCCTTGTTAATCATGAGAAGATGATTATAAAACAACAAACATGTTCCCTTCCCAGTTTCTCTTGCTTCCTGTCCCATCTTATACTCTCTCCCTCGAACATGTTCTCCTGTTGTGATGCTATCCATCAAGATGTGATTCCACCATGACGTTCTCACCAGCACCAAGGAGATGTTAGCACCATGCACTTGAACCTTCAGAACTGTTAACTAATTAAACCTCTTTCATTACAAAGCACCCAGTCTCACTTTGAGCACATGATAAAAGCGAGAGCACACAAGGGAGGGGTGAGGATAGGTAAGACACCTAAAAAATTAGCTAGCATTTGTTGCCCTTAACACAGAGAAACTAAAGCAGATACCTTAAAAGCAACTGAGGCCAATAGGAAAAGGGGACCAGGAACTAGAGAAAAAGTTAGATCAAAAAGAATTAACCTAGAAGGTAACACCCACGCACAGGAAATTAATGTGAGTCAACTCCCTGTACAGCTATCCTTATCTCAACCAGCAAAAACCCTTGTTCCTTCCTATTATTGCTTATACTCTCTCTACAACAAAATTAGAAATAAGGGCAAAATAGTTTCTGCTGGGTATTGAGGGGGTGGGGGGAGAGGGAGGGGGCGGAGTGGGTGGTAAGGGAGGGGGTGGGGGCAGGGGGGAGAAATGACCCAAGCCTTGTATGCACATATGAATAATAAAATAATAATAATAATAAAAAAAACAAAGCACCCAGTCTCAAGTATTTCATAATGGCAACAAAAAATGCACTAATACAATAGTTGTCTTTTTCAGCTATATTATAACACAATATAATAAAAATTTAAAGGAAAAATACTTGATGTATGTATAAACACACACACACATATATACACCTGATTCTTGCATATTATATGTAAATTATTTTATCCTAACCAAATTATTCTTTAATATTGATTTTTTTCTTCTGGAACAATGTAAGTGAGAATTCAATGTTAAGTGGTTAATATAAGCAAGAGGCCAATATGGACACATTTTTAGATTTCTTATATTTAGTTCATTGATGTATTTGTTTCAATCTAAATAGAAAATAGATTGCAAATAATATCGCTCTCCATTTTGTATGTTGCAGTGGAATAATCAAACCAATTCTCAAGGAAGACAATTTCAAGCCCATAGAGGCCAGTTTTCTACCAGGCTCCTCTTTCTTTTTTAATTAATTTTTTTGTTGAAGAGAGAGTATAAGCAATAATAGGAAGGAACAAGGGTTTTTGCTAGTTGAGATGAGGATAGCTGTACAGGGAGTTGACTCACATTAATTTCCTGTGCTTGTGTGTTACCTTCTAAGTTAATTCTTCTTTTTTTTTCTTTTATTATTCATATGTGCATACAAGGCTTGGGTCATTTCTCCCCCCTGCCCCCACCCCCTCCCTTACCACCCACTCTTCCCTCTCCCTCTCCCCCCCACCCCCTCAATACCCAGCAGAAACTATTTTGCCCTTATCTCTAATTTTGTTGAAGAGAGAGTATAAGCAATAATAGGAAGGAACAAGGGTTTTTGCTGGTTGAGATAAGGATAGCTATACAGGGCATTGACTCACATTGATTTCCTGTGCCTGTGTGTTACCTTCTAGGTTAATTCTTTTTGATCTAACTTTTTCTCTAGTTCCTGGTCCCCTTTTCCTATTGGCCTCAGTTGCTTTTAAGGTATCTGCTTTAGTTTCTCTGCGTTAAGGGCAACAAATGCTAGCTAGTTTTTTAGGTGTCTTACCTATCCTCCTATCTCTCTTGTGTGCTCTCACTTTAATCTTGTGATCAAAGTTCAATCACCTTGTTGTGTTTGCCCTTGATCTAATGTCCACATATGAGGGAGAACATACGATTTTTGGTCTTTTGGGCCAGGCTAACCTCACTCAGAATGATGTTCTCCAATTCCATCCATTTACCAGTGAATGATAACATTTCATTCTTCTTCATGGCTGCATAAAATTCCATTGTGTATAGATACCACATTTTCTTAATCCATTCATCAGTAGTGGGGCATTTTGGCTGTTTCCATAACTTGGCTATTGTGAATAGTGCTGCAATAAACATGGGAGTGCAGGTGCCTCTGGAGTAACCTGTGTCACAGTCTTTTGGGTATATCCCCAAGCTCTTCTTAATGATCTTAACAAGTCAGGGTAATTGATAAAAGAGTTCAAATCTGAGAGTAAGCCATTCCATTCAGTCCTTTATAACATTATAGTCTTTATAAAAATTAGTCTGTCTCCACTTTAAGTAGAGGTCCAGTCATATTTACACAATGTATTAGAACCATAAAAAATATCCCACATTAAACACCAAGCAAAAATAGAAAGCAGGTCATAGTCAATATAATGTTTAAACTGCTCTAGACATATTTTACACAGTAAGGATTAAAATGGGAGAAAAAGCTCTTACCATCTGCTGGCAAGCAGCCTGAACCAAAGGATATGTCATCAATAGCTATGACTTCTTCCTGTTCATGAGTTGCAATTATTTGACCTTGAAAAACAACCTGCACAAGCAAAACAAAACAAGAACATAGTGCTATAAAAGAGAGCCTACAAATAAGAAAGGTGGCCCTTCCTAGAAGCACTCAGGTGACTACACAAATTCCAAGTAAAAGAGATCAAATCAAAGGCAAGAAAATGTGCCATGACAACTGTAGGTATAGGTTATAGAACATTTTGGGGAAATGAAGCAACACTCATCTGGCATCAACCTTAAGCTATCTCCATGTTTAATTCCTATGTGTGCATATATTCAGCATTTACCAACTTTTGAACCCAGATTTCATCTTGATCCCTACTTCTTAGCATTTCGCAATTGTGCCCTATTTTTACCTCTGGTTCTCCAAATTATACTCACAGTCTTTGCTTAGATGTTCTTTTGCTAGCCTCCTGCCTTTACCTGATTATAGCTCAGGATATTAAATGGAAATGGATTGCTATTCAGTGACTTAAACTTAAAATGACTGAAGGTTACATTGTGATAAGGAGACAGACCAAGTCTGTGCCAAGAAAAAACATCCTGGCATGGTATGGAAAGAAGCCATACTCTAATTTCAAATTACCTAAATCAATAGACAATTGGTATGTTAGTGAAGAGTTTCATCCTATCCTTACTAAGATGTTGTTAATACCAAAGCTATTTCAGGCTTCATGGAGGGATGAATAAAACATGTGTGTATTGTTGAAATTTGTTTATGAGGTAAACACTTTATAATTTCAGAAAGTAAATAATGCTTCTTGGGTTGTTTGCATACGGAAGCCATTGCAGATCACTTTGTCTCCTGTGTTCCCTTTTGCTCCTGCACAACATACTGGACTAATATATTTCTTCCCAAACTACATGTTATCTGCCAAATCATTAAATACCCAATGACAGACATCCACAATCTATAAAGAAACCTCTATAAATGTGAGGCTAAAAAAGTCATATTTTCTTTGCACAGAAGAAAATAACTGGATGAGTACTTAAAAAACAGTACCCCATTGGAAAGACCCATTGAAGACTTTTGAGTAGGGATGGTTTGATATGAGGGCAGCATGGTATACTGACTAATTGTGGGTATTTAGAGACAGGCTACTTAGGTTCAAATCCCAGAAATATTCCTTAAGGTATAGGACTTGAGAACTTATTTAATATCTCAGTGCCTATTAATTTCTTTGTACAATGGTAGTGGTATAATTAATAATGTATGTGACAAGGTTTACAAAAGGAAAAAAAACAAGTTGTCACACCTAAAACAGAATCTGGTATATATTTACCATTAAGTAAGTGCTAGCTACTATTATTATAACAGATATTACAATATTCAAACTATCAAAAGAATAGTTGTAGGTAAATTTGAATATTCACTATACATTAACATTTTATCCTCTGAAAGCTTTTTCATATAGATACATTCTCTACATCTTCGAGTTAAGCATATGCCTGTAGTCACTATATTTGAAAAACAGAAGTAGAAATAAATGCTAGCTTCATCACCAGTCTCTTATTTCTCCACATTCTATCTCCAGGAGAGACCCACTCATCCTCAGAGTCTGACTAGTGCCCAGGCTAAAAATACACAAATTTGCATCACAAACATTTACCACTCTCCTGAGCTTTCCTCCTGTACCTCTGCAGGCTAGCAGACATTTTCACTCAAATAGTAAGAGTCACTTTTAATTCATAAGATACTGAGATTTTTCTCCTCAAATTGGACCTCTCTCATTTCACTCACTTTTCTGACAATGGTACCAGCAGACTGCACTGCTCAAAACTACAAATGACCTTTACAATCACTTTCTCCTCCAACGTCATGCCCCATTAGCCAAGTGCTCATGCCTGACCTATTGAAGGAACTTAAATTACCTTCTTGCTTTAATCTTCTCCTCACTAGAGTTTGCAATAGTATCTTATGTTTATTTGACTCATAAAATTACATGTTTGCTTGGTATAGTGAAGAAAAATTATTGTGAAAGTTAGCTGCCATTTGAGCCCAGTGACTGGCTCAGCAAAAAAGAAACATTTTTCTTAGCGAAAGAACCATTTCTCTTAAGTGTAGAGAAATTTACTAATGGGTAAGCCAGCAGACAACTAAGTGGTCTAGCTAAGAAGATTTAAACAAAGAGATTTTTCCAGGGATTTTGGTTACGATATAGAAAAATAGCTAAAGGTGAGCCCCTAGGATGATGGAAAGGTGCCAGGCCCACAAAGAGCTGTGGTGAGAGTCTGTGTGGTGTTTGATAGTGGCATTTCTCAGAAAAGTGATATCTAATATTTCTTGCTCGCTCTGAAACTTTGGTGAAGAATTTTTTTTCTAACATCCATGTCTTTTGTGTGGTATTAGTGGGAAATTTTAAAATGGAACAAAAATTTTTAAAAAGGAAAAGAAAGAAAAGCACATTATTAGAGAGATAATAGAGTTAGGAGTTTGCAACATCTCAGAAAACAGGTGTAGCCTGCATGGAACCAATAACAAAATGAGACAAATTTATTTTCCCCCAGAAAATTTAAGAAAATGGAGGGAGGCAAGGGATCAGCGCTCAAAACCTTGATTTAATATTAGAGGAAGCTGTGATGGCAGTCAGAAAACAGAGCTAAACCCACTTGGATACCATTAGTAATTATGTGATCGGATATCATGTAGGTGTCATAATTAGTAGTATGCATTCAGTTTGCTTCCCAAGCAAACCTTTGAAGTACTTAAAGAGGACAGTGACATCTCCCCTTCATGTGTTCACATAATAAATATTCCTGAATTAAAAATGCCTTAGATAACAATTTTCAGAAGAATGGGGGACGAGAACTCTTAAAGTAAGATAACAATTTATATATTTTATGAATGTCTCATCCTTTTTCTTCACTAACAAAGTTTATTATTTTTAAATAGGAGGCTGCTGAGAACTCTCCAGCACTTCTAAATAAAATATCAAAGAAATGACAAGTAGACAATATTAAAAATGCTGTTTTTAAGATTCAGGCACTGGCTCATTTAGCTTAAAAATCCAAACATTCAATGTGAAAACCATAATATGTGATATACTTAGTAATATAGTATTCATTCTCCCTACCCACAAAACCAATGTATAAGCTCCTTTAAAGCAAACAAACAAACAAACAAGAAGGGTTGGGTAGAGTGGGGAAGATTTCATTTGAGTTTGGAACTAAATTTCTACGGTGTGTTTAGCTTGCTTTATTTTTTGCCTTCTTGAAAATTGCAAGATAATAGTAAAATAAATGGCTTATATCTGCAGTTTTAAAGATGCGATTGCAATTAATTAGTATCATACGATAATGTTGTTTCATCCAACACAGCAGAAAAAAGAATATTTAATAATCATATGCAACAGATTTGAAAAATCTGAGGTTTGAGATTTTTTTCCTCCAACATTTTCCAAATCCTTATAATACATACAAGATACAGGAGAGTAACAAGGCTCATGGTGATATCTGAAACCAAGCTACTCTAGATTCTAATGTGGTGTGAGATACAGTATGTTATTCAACTCTATAAAGTTCGTATTTCTTATGTTAACGATGGGGTAAAACATCACACTACCTCAGATGAAGTCGAAGGGTCCATTATATTATGTGTGCAAAGGACAAAATGTAATCCCTCATACATAGTAAATGCTCAATAAATACCAGTCATGTTATTATTCCTTAAATATCTCCAGAAACTTACTGTGATGCTTCCGTCTTGGTTGGCAGCACCATCATTTGTTTAGATAGCAATAACTCCTCAGAAACTAACCTACTGCAATTTTGTTAAGAGATGGGCTTGATACTTTACAGATGAAAGTGATAAAGCTCTGAGGTGAAAGCCTGCTCCAGAGACTTTCTCCAAAGCACCTGCTAAGCTGGGATCCAGCTAGGACTGAAACACCCTATTTGCATATTTCTGAAGGAAGCATGCATGGCTTTAAACTATTAAAAGTAAGCAGGAGGGGAAATTACAGAAACAGAATAATTCTCACAGGGTTATAAATTGATGAGGCAGCAGATATTGTGTGGAGATGCTGATTACAAAATTCCCTCAAATAAGCCTCTTATTTGAGGCTTTTTAAGAACCAGATACAAGATGGTGGTTGGTCCTCTTACAAGCACGGCACATCTCTGTGGCCCATCAAAAAAAGCAAGTGAACATCTGCTCACTTGCTGACAGGGCAGAATTAAAACATGCCTGCAATCCTAAAAGATGGGTGTGGCCGAAGGACCCCAAGAGAGTCATACAGTCTACTAATTCTTTTTTTACAAAGCCATTAAGGTAGAAGCACTGTTTTCATATCAGCAATGAAGTATTTTAAGAAGCAAATGAAAATGCTGCACAGGAATCTGCTTTTCATGAAGCCAGTGCTGTATATAAAGCACTCAAGTGAATAACCTCACTACCTCAACTGTGGCTGGATTGCCCTGGAGACAACATAGTCTAGAATCTTAAGTTTCATATTTATCTTCTACACATACTTAACCATCAAAAAACCCATGATATTTGGAAATGGCCACCTCAGGAAAAGAAAGAAGTCATTTTGAAAGGTTTAACCTATAAGACTCAGAAGGTTTTTGCTTTGCCCAACATCCAAATCTGTTATGTTGCTAATAGAGACCTTGACCTAAAGATAGAGATCTTTAGTGCAAAAAGACTTAGCTCGGCAAAATTAGTTTCTTAGTATCGGCTCTGTTTCAGATGCATAAATAATGATAAACCATGTGCATAGACAAGATTCTCATCCAGTCATTCAAGTTTACACCACCATGCAGGAAAAAAGCAGATTAGCAAATCCACCCACTTTTCAGAGGCTAGTTAATAGAGCTCAATTCTCAAAAAAGCAATCTTCGTTTTTATTTTGCTGGTTTTGTTGTTAAGAAAAGTAAAGTAGCTGGGTACCAGTGGCTCATGCCTGTAATCCTAACTACCTGAGAGGCTGAGATCAGGAGAACTGCAGTTTGAGGCCAGCCTGGGCAAATAGCTCATGAGACCTCATCTCTAAAGTAAGGGCAGCAAAGTGGACTGGAGGTGTGGCTCAAGTGGTTAAGCTTTGCAAATGCAAAATTCTGAGTTCAAATCCCAGTCCCATCAAAAAAAAAAAAAGGATAGACACAAAGAACAAAGAAGAGGATAAGAAATGAACTAAGAACTTACGCTAACACCTGAAATTTACAGTGAACTCAATGCACATCAGCTCTCAGGGGGACCCACTGTGCACACCAAATCACACAGAAGTGACGACTTCCTTAGGGCAGACACAGGAGCAGAAAGTATGTGCTCCTCTCAGGTGTCAAACATCTTCCCTTAACATGGTACTGGGGACCTTCCCTGCATGGCACTGAGTACACCCCCAAGTACCTCAAAACAGTCTTCTTAAAGTAAAGGAATCAGGATCAGGTACAGTGGTGCATGCCTGAAATTACAGCTACTCATGAAATGGAAATGGAAGGTTCATGGTTTGTGGCCAGGTTGGCGAGAAAGGGTAGCAAGGCTGTTTCTCAAAAAACAAGTTGGGCAAAGTGTACACATCTATAATTCCAGCTACTCAAGAGGTAGGGGTAGGTGAATGTGGTCTGACGTAGGACAAGGCATGAGCGTGAGACCCCATGTGAAAACTAACTCAAAAGAAAAGCAGTGCTGGAGAATGTGGCAGAGGGCTTGCCTAGTAAGCCCAAGGCTTGAGTTCAAATACCAGAACAACCAAAAAAAATGTAAAGGAATCAATCATGCATAGGAAAACTTAAATCCCTGATGACTTAACATTTCATTCCCCCAATAAACACAGATGAAAATTTGATTTCAACAGAGTACAAAGTATCAAACAACAGAGTTGTATTTTCAACCATATAGTTCTTCTTAAATCTCTTACTTAACCACCTACTAAATGGTTTACAAGCCTTCTTTTTAGTTACTAAATTCCAAATTATAGTAATTTCATAACATCAATTAAGGAATTGTGCTATTCTTATAGCTGATAATTCAATGTATGTAATAGAGAACCTGCTCATTTGTCCATCCTCTTCTTCTCAGTCACTCAAAATTGCTGAAGGTAAAATTAAATGCAATTCATTCTTTATATTTAAACATCAGGTGATTGGTTATTCCATAGCAGATTTATAAAAATTGATTATTATATTAGTTGATTAAAAGATAACAAAGGAATCTCATGTTGACTAAATTAGTCCACTAACAGGGTTTACAAGTATTCTTTAGGAAGAAAACACTTTAAGATCTCTCTCATTTTCAACTGAAAAATTTTGCTTGGCTGTCCAAAATGTTAAACTATGTAATACGTTCCCAGGAACTCTGGCAATAATCATTAGATTATGATTTCCACCATGCATAAATTTTATTAGGCTACATAAATACATTTGCCTTTTATAGGCTTGTGTTGAATTTAATTCTCAAATTGTTTAAGAAAATAAAGGCTGTGTTGAATTGAGCTTAACCATGTGATGAAAATGACAATTACTCTACTTTAACAGCATTTGGAACCAGCATTTAAATCAAATGCTCTCTTTTGTCATTACCCGACACTATCCTCTTCTCTCAAAGCCATGAGAAAAGTTGGGAAGAAAAGTGATTCTTGGGAAAAAGAAATGAAAAAAAAAAAAGAGGAGGTTAAAATGAGAAAAATAGAAAAGTTTCAAGAAATATTATACTTATGTATCAATATATACTAAAATATATCAACTTTAATGTATTATAGGCATTCAAATCTTGCTGTAAAAGTGCTTTTTAGGCTGACCAGCCATCCTAATATGTCTGGGCTGTTCACACTCAGCACTTGAATGAGCTGGGAAGTCCTTGGCAACTGTTAGTCACTTTTTAAAATTCACCTGTGCTGAAGATGTGGTTCTTAGTATATTTCCTTCAAAACAAGCCTAGCTGGAGACTAGAACATGCATACCTGAAATCTCTGTGAGCTCTGGATTTTGATGACATTTCTCTCCCACTGATTTTGCTGCCCAGTTGTGTTTTGCCATATATGTTGAATAGGACTGCCACATCCAGTTTGAAGACCTACCGTCAGTTTGCTACTCAAGTGGCTGAAGAAGTTATAAAATGTAATCTGTGAAGAACAATTAGTACCCAAACAATTACAATAAAGGAATTTCCAAATGCAACAAAAGATTTAAAATGCTGTGTGCTTTGAAATACCTGGCAAACATGCAGGCTAATAGTTGGAAGGAAAACTCTGCTTCTTAAGTTTGGGGAAGTAGAATTCTCTCTTGAGACCAGTGAGAGGAAATGGGCTGTGAGAAAGAAGAGTCAGCACACTAAATTCAGAGTGATTGCAGGCAAATTTACCCCATACATCAATGGCAATTAAGGACCACACCCACAATAGATTGATATAATTTGGCTTAAAAATGAAAAATCAACCCACACAACTTTGTAAATGGTCTGATAAGTATTTTTACTTTTTACATTTTACATTTTACTTTTTACTTTTTACATTGCCCAGTGCAATAACTAATTGTGATTATACTTCCTATAACATTATCATATCTGACATAGAAAGTAACAACCCTGCAAAGATGCTATCCAGGGAAAACAATCTCTATTGCCTACCAAAATAAGCAATTTGGTGAAGAATTAATAGAGATCATTATTTACTGTGCTTTTGTTCCAAAATGATTGGATCAAATAGTCCCAGCTCTTCCCAGGAATATGAGAAACAACACTGAGGCATGACATTCTCTTGCTTGCTCTAGTTCAGATTGTGCCAGTGGCTGTCACTGTTTAGGAGCCTGTAAAACAAGGTTCCCAGAGTGTTCATAGATTTCCTGCAATGATTCACCAGGGTGAGAGTGGATAACTTGGCAACCATTGTTTTCTGCTACTCTATTTGGCGTGTTGCTATTTGTTAAAAGGAATGAGATAAGTGATGTTGATGACAATTGCGTATACAAGTTATTCAGTGACATTTTAAACTCAGATTCAAAATTAAATCTAATCATCACATCATTGAAAGAACAGTAAAATTATGAAACCTGAGAAACCTCTTCTTCCCTACTCTTATTCCAAAATTGCACCCTAATTAAGGAGAAAACATGACATAAATGATTGCTCATAGATATTGTCAGATGTATAATTGAATCCACTTGTACTAAATATACTCCTGAGAAATATTATAGAAACATAATTTAGATGAAGAACTGGTATTACAGTGATACAAGTGGACAATCGTTAGTTTGCTCTTACAGCAGATAAGTATTGAGCAAAAAATAATCAAATAAATATAATAATCCATGTGGATATATTGTTTTAGGTTTAAATAGTATTATTAGCCATACAAATGATAATAGCATTGAATAGGCTTTAAACTACTGTTTATAAATATTCAATTACTGAAAGAACATCCATAAGACATATAGGAAAATTATTTTCAAGTAAATTACTTAAATTAATCACATTTATGTTTCTAAAGTTTTGGTCTTAAAAACTCAGATCTGACACATTAAGCTTTCAAATAATAAAACAAAATTAGAAATATTTTCAAATCGCACAAGAATAAATTATTTAAGCAGAGCATTTCATAAATCTAAACAATATCATTGGTACTATAAATTATTCTGTATTTCATCAACTATGAAATAAAGGTTAATCTTGAGGTTGTAGGAGAATATACAATTTTAAATTTGGAAACAGGTCTGGGGATACATCAGAGGTAGAGCATAACATGTAAAAGGCCCTGGGTTTGAACCTAAGACCACAAAAAAATTAAACAAATTCTGAAGCAGTTTGAGATCCTTTGACGTTTGTTCTAGAAATATACTATTTTCTTTTCACAAGCACAAAAAAGAATGAGAAATATCAAAAGAAGAGAAGGAGGAGGAAGCAGTGTTCAAAATATACCCAATAACAATATCTGTTTTCTACCTCTAATTCCAACTTGGTGATTATTCATTTTGGTCTTTAGTGTACACTCCATTTTGCCATGAACATTCTAGTATGAGCATACAATTTAATCCACAGATGGAACTTTTCTTAGAGAAGAAGACCACATTACAGAAGTCCTCTTGTTTTTCGAAAGGAGGTTAGTCATCATGTCTACTTATAAGAGAAAGAGATAAATCTTTGGCAACACATGTTTTCCCATATGCTTATTTCATCATCAAACACTCCCTCCTCCTACTGGCTCTACCTATAAGGAAGCTTTAAGAGGCTCTTGGATAGAAAAATTTATATCCAATATTCTCTCTACATAACTCTTTTACCTCTTAAAGCAGCCTAATAATGCATCTATTACACACAGACACTCATGCATACATATTGTCGGCATCACGTCTCCCTGTTAATCTGTATGCCATTTCCATTTGCTCATATAGTTATGAATTCCCACTCTGTGTCTGAATCCATAAAAACAAATGAATAGAATAACTTTCAAACACACATTGAAAATTATCTCATGAAAATGCTCTGATTACTAAAATTACAAAATATGAACACAAGTATTGTGACTTCATGTATAATCTCACAATTTTTTTTTTTTTGCTAGAGGGCCTTTAAAAATATTTTTCTTTTTAACTGAGTAGTTTGGGAGTAAAATCCCAATGTTAAACAAGTTGGATTACCCAAAAATGGAGTGCATAAAATATAAAAGCAACAAATACAATGAATCAAGTATGATGGTTAAGTCCAGTACCTTTGGAAATAAATTCCACCAACCCTCATCCTCAGGAAAGATAAGAGAGAATTTTCAGTTTTACTTTCCTCAACTATTGATAGGCAGCCTTGCATTTCCTCCATTCTCCAAGTGCTGAGTGATTAATGGGGCTCAACATGAACAGGAGAATTGTAAATCATATTGCATGCCACCAGTTGTCTCATATGAGCACAAAAAAGGGAACATTTTAGCAGTGAGATAATATCAGTTTTCAAGAACATTACCAAAAAAAAAAAAAAAAACATAGCTTCAGGAACAGATCATCAAAATGTGGATAGAACCCTGGAGCAAACAAGGATTAAAGCATCAAGGTTTGTAAAAAGGGGAAAATGTATTCATGCTTGAAAGAAATGTGGCTCAGTTCAAATTACAGAGAGGAGTCAATAATCCTAGATATAAGGTTTCAAATTGCAATTACTATTTGTCAAGTTCTGTTTCCATCAAGTCATCAGTTTTGTCTCATACTTGTTCATTAAACTAACAAGCTCTACAGAACCAGAAAATGTTTGTAAAAACTATAACTCAAAAAGGATACCCTCCAATATAATTGCTAGCAACTTCTCTGTGAATGTTGCTATACCAATTCTGACTTCAGTGACAAAGCATGGTAGGGGAAGAGAGGGAATTCACTTTATAAGATCATAAAACATAAAGGCAATATTAATAAAAATCACAAAATAAAGACCTTGAATCTCCTCCATAAAAGCAATTTTAAACTGGAAAAAATAGTCAGAATCAATGTTTCAAAAGGTCTAGGAATCAGTAAAAGATTTATAGAAATCTGAAGAGCTTTTGGTTAATGGGTGAATATCAGTAACAATGGTAAGTTTATGGTGTTTTAACATGCCCTTGTCTCTGCCCACTTTTCAGTTACCTTGGAATATAACATGCCATATTCATGTGCAACCTGTCAGCCACAGAATATATAAAATGGAACTAAAATTTTGGCAAAACCTCATTCCCATATAATTGTCATAATATGATCTGTTGGCTGGTTATATGACAGTCTCCACTTAAAATGCTGTCTGAAATTGACCAAAATAACAACTCTATCAATACAAGTGTCTTTCTCTGAAGAAAGGACTTATTTCAAATAACTAGTGGCAATTTTTTAAGCTTCATATTTGCCTGAGAAACTCCTGTTGGGTAAAACAATAGACCATCTATAAACCTCATGGTAATGAGATGTCAATAGAAGCTTTGAAAAGTTCCAAAGTATTCCTGCAAATCTGGACAGATAAGTGTATTCATAAGACTGTGCACATCCTATGGATAGACTTGAAAAATCTCCTGTGTGCTCATCTCTAGCTGACCTTTGGTTCTCTAAAAGCAGGAAATGAAGACTAAGGCAGAGTTGCCAACTCTCTGGGTAGGTATTAAAGGGGCAGCCCAACATGCATGCACTAATCTGTCATCATTCATTGAGATATTTACTAGTTCTAGGATGCTTTGGATTGATATCTGACATGTCCTTCACAAAGCTCATATGTTCAAACCTAATCACCAGTATGAAATTATTAGTATTGGGGACTCAAAATGGCAACTTAGGGCAGTGGGTAAATCATCACGAGGGCAGAATCCTCATGAAGGGAAAGGCATTCATCAAAGACTTACCTTTCTCCTTCCACCATAGGAAGAAGCAGAAAGAATGTACTATACATTTGATATATTGTAAGAACTTTTGCAAATGCCACAAGGGACCCCTACCCAGCACAACAATAAAAAAAAAAAAAGATAGCAAAAAATGGTCATCTACAAGCCAAGTGGAGGGAACTCAGAAGAAATCCAACCCTGTCAATGACACCCAGATCTCAGACTTGTACCTTCCAGAGTTGAGAGAAAATAAATTTCTGTTCCTTAAAAAAAAAAAAAAAAAAAAGTAATGTGCTAATCTACAAACTAGAAAGCGAAGCTTCACCAGATGCTGCATCTGCTGCCATCTTGATCTGGAACTTCCCAGCCTTCAGAAATTGAGAAATAAATTTATGTTGTTTATAAATTCAGTTTATGGTATTTTGCTATAGCAATCTGAAGTGACCACAACATAGACATTTAAGAAAGAATTAGAGGATCTGAATACATTATGACTAGTAAAGAGAATGAATCAATAATCAAAAAAAATCATGAAGAAAAGCTCAGGCACAGAAGCCTTAGTGAATTCTATAAAACACTTAAAGAGTTGACACCAACACTTCACACTCTTGAAAAAGACAAGAGGGGATACTTTCTAGCCCATACCAAGAGGCTATTACTATCAGAACCAAAATCAAAGACATTACAAAAAGACCCCAGAAAACAACAGGCTAATATTCCTTATGAATCAATCAATACAAAAAACACCATCTTGGCCAGGTGCTGTGACTCAAGCTTGCAATCCTAGCTATTTGGGAGGTAGAGATCAGAAGAATTGTGGTTTAAGGGCAACAAGTGCAAAAGTTCACAAGACTCCATCTCAAGCAATGACTGGTCAAGGTAGCTCATGTGTGTCATCCCAACTGAGTGGGGAAGTACAAATGGGAGAAACATGGTCTGGGCTGGCCTAGGCATAAAGCAAGACCCCATCTCAAAAATAGCCAACAAAAAAAGGCTGGAGTTGTAACTCAAGTGATAGAGTACCAGCTTATTTTAGATCATTTTAAAAGATACAGAAAACTGTGGAAAATGGAGTATGAGAAGCCTATGAGAACTTGACATGAGCACAACCAGGTCAAATAATCTGCAGGCTGGGATTGGCACAGCCCCCAGCTGCAGAAGGAGCAAGAGCAAAATGCCTGAACACAGCTGCTGTGCATAAGAACAAGGATGTTTACACCAGACAGGAACAGTATGTGCAGAAAGTAGTGATCACAGGTTCCCCCTGTTCCAGATAACTACAAGGTCATGCTGCCCTGAGAACTGTTGCTCTGCTGATTCAGCTGTCCCACTTCCTGGCTTGCCATTGTATATAATGAACTCTCTGGAGGTGGTTGAGGATGTTGTGTCTCTGCATCAGAGCACCCAACTCACCTGATCCCAGCTTTTTTTGCATGTTTGTCTTTTGTCCTTTCTCAGTCTCCTGTTGCTGCCAGTTAGGTTCCTAGGACTAGCTTGTGCAGATCACGAGTTAGTTCCTAACTACCGAGGAACTTGAAGCCCAAGACAAAGAGATGCTCTCCAAGAAATTCGTGTATAGAACAAGCAAGGTGAGGGGGAGAGTGAATTAAATACAGTCAGGTGTAAAAACACGGACAGATGGGTCTAAGGACTGAGAACTCTATATACAGACTTCAGAAGCTATGCTCAAGACTAGAGGAAGGTTAGGTCACCTCAGCTTATGCAGTTTTTAGATTTTGTACTGGACACTTGCCAGTAGTTCCCTGAGGAGGACACTGTAAATTTAGAAACATGGAACAAGGTAGGAGACAGGCTGAGGGCGTGATATATGGCTGAAGGACTGGAATGCATGCCCACTTTTACTTTTGGTTTGTGGTCCATGATTAGAGATTGTTTGGATCCCACTCCCTCATATAAACAAAGATTCTCCACCTCAGTGTCTGAGCGGAGATATGGGACTCACCCCCTACAACCAGTCCTACAGGGTGTGAACGGCAGCATCACTTGAAGGAACAGGATGCTGCGGGTGGTGGAGCCACTGAGCTGTCAGCACCACCTGATGAGAATAAGTTTCACATAAAGCTAAAATTCAGTCCAAAATTGATTCTGATTCTGATTCAGTGTCAGATAAGAAGGATTATGAGGATGCTCTGTGCCATCAAGTACTGGGAACCATGCATTTGGAGTTTCTTCTGTTGGCTAAGAGACTTCCTGCTCTTGCTAAGAGTTCCTTACAGGCTGCCTTCCAGGCAGTTCACAGTCAAGGAAAAGATATCACTGGTTTTAGGGTTTACCCTGTATTTGAGAGACCAGACCTTAAAAACCCTGGCATGAAACAGAGGTCTCATGAAAATATTCCATTTAAAACTTTACAGGAGGCAAAGCAAGCCTGTGCAATGTGTGACTCTGCAGCCCCATTTACACTGGGGCTATTGCAGAGTGTGGTAGGAGATACTGCTCTGCCTCCAGACGACTGGACAGGGCTGGCTAAAGCATGCCTCCCTCCAGGTGATTACTTGCTGTGGGAAACAGGTTTTACAGAGTTATGTCAGGAGCAGGTAAACCATAATTTGGCCCATGGAGTGCATATCACTGCAGATATGCTCAAGGGAAGAGGACCTTTTGAAGGCACAGATAATCAATTACAGTATCCCCTTCAGGCTTATCAGCAGATTGCCATTGCAGGCACAAGGACATGGTGAGAACTACTCACAAAAAGAGAAAAAAACTTTGGAACTAGCTAGCTTTCTCCAAGGTCCTGATGAGCCATATCAAGAGTTTGTAGCATGCCTGCTGCAAAACTTAGACAGGACAATGGCGAATACCAAAGCCGGAAAAATACTGGTAAAACAGCTGGTTTTTGAGAATATTAACAAGGCCTGTAAGACAGCCTTTGGCCATATAGAAAAAGAGCCACTATGCAGGAAATGATTAGAATTTGTGCAGATAGCAGGCCAAATCACATCCAGGGTATAGCCTTAGCTGCTGCCTTAAAGGAAGTGTTCGGCCCTGGGGAAAGAATA